GAAAGAATAGGAGAACAGAGGACTCTATGGAAGTCAATAAAAAATAGGCGAGATAGGTTGGTAGGACACCTTCTCAGGCATGAAGGTCTAGTCAGAGACATATTAGAAACAGAAGCAGGAGTTAGAAGGGGTAGAGGTAGACCTAGATTAGATTACTGTTCGCAAATAGTTAAGGATGTGGGCTGTTCTAGTTTAGGGAAATGCGAAGTTTAGCTGAGGATAGGAAAGGGTGGAGGTACGTGTCCAACCAGACTGACGACCTTATGATGATGATGATGAGAGATATTACAAAAAGAATAGCTTGTGTCTTCATGGTAAATTTTGAAACTCCAAAAAGATTATTGTTGTATGATGCGAAACGATAGATAAGATTAAAAAGGAGGAAGCATTAAAACAAGTAGGAGAAAAGAGGGTAATATATGTAGAAGTCAGTAAGGTTCTGCGATATGAAGAGCTAAAAATATATTAGAAGCAGAAACAGGAATGAAGAGGACAACAGGGGAAGACCTAGATTAGATTACTGCTCGCAAATATAGTTAGGAATGACACTTTTCAAAAATGACCGTAAATGGTCAAAAAAATTCACCTATTTATGTTTTAACATATTTTCTTTACGTACATTACCTACTTTTACCAGACAATGCATACTGAATTTTTGGTTAAATACTATACCTACATACGTACCCATCTTAAAAACTTGAAGTTTTGCAAAATATTGTCGCCTCAAGTAACTAGAATAACATTTTTTCTCAGAATGGGTTTGTTTACATATATTTGAATCGATCATTTGAGAAATTCCATAAATGCATTTTTGGCATTTTTGCGTTTAGAACATCAGTGTATTTTACGGGATGTAAATCAACTGTTCCGAATAAGAACCCCACAAAAGTACAACGTTCGACATGTTATTTAACAATCAAAATTTGAGTTCATTTTAGAAACCCCATAACTTCAGGACATATGAGGGTTTGTAAACGTTGAAGGGTCCCAAGAATTTTACTAGAAATTGTTTCAACGGCCTACTGTTGACGGCGAAATACTCATTGATATATAGTAATAACATAGTATGTAGGTACTTTTGTAATAATTTTTGAAATAAACATGCATACTTTAATTGTTTATATATTCATTTCATTGAAAACGCCATAACTCCAAACTAAACTCAAATTATGGCCTAATTTTCTATAAGCAGTACCAGAATTATTACAAAACTTGAGTAGACTTTAGGATAATTATTTAGAGATCAAAACCATTCGTGAAAAAAAACAAAACGCTTACCAGCAAAAACATTTCTTTTAATTCCTCATAAGTTCTTAAATGACCGATTCATTTATTCATATGAAAAAGATTATATTAATACGCAATTAAGAGCAACAGTACTTTTGCATGCATTTGGATAATTGAAGATTGCTAGATTTGCGAAAATATTTCTTAAAATTTAAATATATAAAATATTATATATACCGACTTCAGCGAAAAGCCATTTTTACAAAGATTAAGTAATGCGATAAAGATTAAATCAAAATTACCCAGAACAACTTCGATAAAAAGTGTTCCAAATGCTGGAAAGTTAATTTCTATACGCTCCAATAATTTATTACATTAGAGGAAAAACCAAATCCATAACGATGTAATTTCGTAAATATCTAATTTTAAGAAATATATGGTAAAACATTGTGTAAATCAACAAAAAACACGATATAAAGAAACGTGTAAAAAAATAATTCCTGGTATTTTAAGCGTTATCAGTATCAGTATTAAAAACTTCTATGCAAAAATATAAATTAAGAAATACTGATGCTGCATTTTATAATAAGTAAATAAACAAATGAAGATATTTTGTCTAATTATTATTTACAGATGAGAATGGCATAAATAATAATAAATGATGGCATATGTATACGAGCTTGAGATAATGACTTATTTACATATTTATTTGTATGTAGGTTAATAAAGTGGTGAATTAATTTGTAAATTAAAGCAGTGAGAATTTCTTTTTTCGAATAAATTAAGTATATTAATTTAAATAGTTGTGAATATATCTAAAAACAATTATTAATAATTAAATAAAGTACATGTTTATGGGGTTGTTACATGAATAAATGGGTAGTTAAAAAGGTCTTCAAGTTCAAAATGATTTTACACTTTTTTTTAGTTTTTAATCTTTATCTGTATTTGAAAATACGAGCTCCGCCATTGATCGTGAATTGAAGTTTATTCATGGCACGTATTTGCAACAAAACAAGAAGAAGAAGTGTAGGTACATATGTATAAATATCACGTATATGCAGGACATTTTCTTGAAAACAAAAAAGGATTAGAAAATACATATTTATGTATGTACCCACGTGTAATTATTTATTGTTTGTAATAGGCAAAGGAGAAAAAAAGAATGATGGTGTTTATCGCTGTTTTGAATCATTGTACAATAAATATTTTAATAAGCAGATAAGAATTAATATGTACTCACACAAAAAAATTACAAACCATTCAAACAAGAATACAGACATAATGTTTGTTGCCATTTCTTCCCGAAAAACAATTGTATAAGGTAAAAATCAAGCTATGTAGGGGCAAAGGTTTATACGTGTAAGACATAAATAAAGAAGCTTCCCCTAAATAGCTTGATTTTTACCTTATATAGACATAATCATAAAGAAAGATAAATTAAGAAATTTTTATGGGAAAACTCTTTTAAAAAAAAGTTTTAATTTTTAAATTTGAAAAAGTGGGCTAATTTTGCTTAACAGTGTAACTGAATTGCATAAAATTTTACTACATGCTCATAAATATTATTTTCGCATACCACATTAATTTGATAAATGTTGGGACTACCTAACAGGTAAACGACTTAGAATTAGCCGCAAACTTTACTATGAATAATCAAAATCAAGTGCTAAACAGCCACAATTCTCCACCTACACCTTAAATATTTCTGGCATCAGTGTTGGGGTCTTGTTTTATTTTTAAGTTATTTTTGGAGAATTTAGAGTATTCTCATTCTATTTCATTTCAAATGGTTCAGTCGCGGAACTTTGTTACGTAAACAGCAACTGTCGACGGCTGTTGACAATTAAAGTCGATCAATCCTTTAATGTGAAGGAATTTATTGATTTCCCGTTTTATTGGATCGATCGAATTGTGCGTCAATGTTTAGTGGGGGTGGGTTAGACGCTCAAACGGATGTTTGGGGACAATTGGCACTCGAGGGCCATCAGCTTTATGTTACTGATGGTACACCAGTTAAATCTCCTAGATTTACAACGGTATGTCTAAATCTAGTTATCGTAAAATCTATACTCAAGTTAAAAGGATCAAGGACTAATTATTGAATTAATTTTTATTATCGTACAAGTACAAGTGCATGGTCAAATTTTTCGAGTTCAAATAAAATTTGTAAAATAGTATCCAATTATTCACATTTTACTGCAAAAAAGAGGGCTAAACGTTTACTAGACTTGTACATACTTCAGCAAAAACTTAATGCTTTCCGCTTTTTTTTAAATACTCATTTCTTATAGCAGTTATTAACATGTTTTTACAGACCATCGATAAAATGCCTGACAAAGTTCTTTTGCACATATTCAGTTATTTATCGCATAGAGAAATATGCAGAATGGCACGAGTTTGCAAAAAATGGCGTATGATAGCCTACGATACCAGACTATGGAAATATGTGTCCTTAAGGCCCGAAGTGTCAGGATTACATGTCAGTTCTTTAGAATCATTACTGGCTCTTATCAGTATTAGATTTGGACCATCTCTGCGTTATATAGAATTGCCTATCGAACTCATTACGCACACTGTTTTACACGAATTGGCCAATAAATGTCCCAACTTAACGCACATGTTACTAGGTAATTCCCCGCAATATAAGTGGTAATTATTTATCATTATCATTTTATTCGGTGTTCATTTTAGATTTCTCAACTGCCATGCAGCTTCATGACTTTAGCGAATTACAGGGATTTCCTACAAAATTAAAATATTTGTGCATTTGTTTGTCCGAAGTAATTTTTATGGAGGGTTTTATGCGAAAGATCTATAACTTTATCAACGGGCTTGAAATTTTGCATTTAGTCGGCACTTACGAAAAAATGGAAGAAGAGGAAGAAGAAGTGTATGAAGTTATTAACGTTCACAAATTAAAATCTGCTACGCCCAATCTAAGAGTAATAAATCTGTATGGCATAAACTTCGTGGACGACAGTCATATAGACGCATTTAGTTCAAATTGCATTCAGGTAAATACGAAGGTTGTTACGAAAGTTGTTGTTGCCATCAAAAATTTAAAATTGATCATGGATATAAACTCGTTACAGTAAATCTGTAATTTCTGGCCAACTTCAACTAAGTAATAAAGAACATAAAATTTCTTGCAATTTATTTCAGTTAGAATGTCTGGCGGTAAACTATTGCGCGAAAGTAACAGGAACAACTTTGAAAGTTCTATTTCAAAGAAACAGACGTTTACGATGTCTACTCTTAAATGGAACAAGTAAGAATTAAAAACAGATTGCTGTTGCTGTTTGGCAATTACTAATTACTAACTGCTCTGTTGATTGATATGAAATCATAAAAAATTAGCAAAATATTACTTTTTGTATTGACTGTTTACATTTTTATACTAATCGTTTTGGTAATAAAATAGGTACTGACCTAAAATTGATTTATTTACTGAACGAAAATGGATTTAAATAATTTATTTTATTTTTTTTTTATTAAGATTATAATCGTCTTTAATAGAAAACTCTTTATCACAACAAAATAACAATTGAAATAAAAGCTTTATGTTTGGATTTCCCGAAAACAGTTATTTGTTGTTCTTAAGTTTGGATTTCCCGAAAATTTGTTGTGCTTTTTTTGTTTCTTATCAAAATATAATACTCAATGTAGCTATGTATATTTTCTTAAGGATTCAATCAATTACTACTTTTTTTACAAAATAAATTTTTTATGTTCATTACTAATTTTAAATGTGATTTTTTAAGGTTTGCAAAGTGAATATTTGTTACAAGTAGAATGGGAAAAATGCGCTCTCCAGGAACTGGATATTACAGCAACCGATCTTTCTACCGAGTGTTTAACAGATATGCTAACCAGACTACCTGGTCTACGATTTTTAAGTGCAGGACAAATTAATGGTTTCAACGATAGTGTTCTTAAGGCTTGGATGGAAAACGGCAACGTAAAAAATCTTGTAGGTATATAAAAAATTAGCATCTATTTACAAGAAACTAATAAGCAATGAAGAGACTTTGGCACATACAATTTTCAGGGTTGTTTGTTACAAACAATGCCGATAATATAATCTCATAATGTTTTTATTTTGACGGTAACTTTATCAAATTTGATACAATTTAAGTCGCAGAACATCACATTTGTGACTTCCAGATAGTGATAAATTAATTTCGAACAAAGAATATATTTCACAGATTGCATTGGATTTGGATAGTTCAGACAACTTAACTGAAGATGCCCTTTATAAATTTTTATCCAAACATGGTCACCAGCTTCAAGGACTTTGTCTGTCAGGAATGACCCATATCACTGATTCTTTATGGCAGAATGTTCTTCCTATACTTAATAATGCCAAGTAGGTGTATACATATATTACACAATTTTGAATCTTTGCTGTGAGATTTCCTCTTTAATTTATTTAATTTTCAATGCGTTTTCTACATCATCATTATTATTATTACTATTACATATCTAATGACTTGCAATAATTAATTCTAATTTTAATTACGATATAATTTAATAAGAAGAGTAGGTGGGTATTCCCTGTTATCAAAAATTGTACTCTGGTGCGATATAATCCAAGTTTTATTCTTTTAGGTCAACATACTTTCTTCATTCTGATAAACTTACACAATACATTGCACTGTATTTAAATTGTCTTGATTTTGTATTAACATTTAGTATACGCCTTTAAGAATACTAGTGATGGGGACCCAAGAGAAACTTGGTGGTAATGTATTAGTGGATCAATTAATGGACGGTATTGCCAGCAATTGTCCAAAACTCGAACGCTTAGAATTACGATGGGACCCAGATAATTTACGATTTTCTGATAAAAGCCAAAAAGCTATTGACACTTTACGAGTAAAATGCTTAAAACTAAGATGTCTTGTGATAAGGTATACCCAAAATCTGCTTGACTAATTAATAACGTATAGGTAATAAAAAAAATATTCTCCTTTTTCTAGTGACGGTCGTTACTACGAAATCGTAAAAGCAAACTTTGAAAGAGCTGACAGAATGACCGTTGTAAGAACACTCACCAACTGTAGAGTTTCCAATTATTATCTTTTGGGGAATTACCGAGAACTAATTTTTAACTAAAGTTAAATCGCATTGGATTTTTTGTATATATTCTTTTCAAGCTAAAACTGATATGCGTGTATAATTTGGAGAAATTCCTAAATTAATAACAATTTATTAAATGCAGTAAACACTCGAAACTATCCCACAAAATATGAACAACATAGCAATCATGCTAGACCGTCACATGATGTGAACAAACTACAAACGTTCGGTTATAGAAATTGATCATTAAGATCGACATTTCACTATTGCCATTTATTACCTATTAACTTCGTACAAAATTTGAAAAAGTGAACAAATCAATAATGTTGTTTTGGTTCATTCTATCGAGCGTTTACTGTAAGACAGGAGCATAAAAAAAGTTTAAAATTAATTGACGAAAGGAAATATGTATACATTTTTGGACTACAAAGGTTACCAATAGCTCAATAAATAACTGTATATAAATATAGCTTTTATAATAGACAGTGCAGTTACAATAGTAATGTACACCAGGAATGTATTTACAAACAGTAAAGAGTTGTGAAAAATTACAAAGAATTATAAATAAAGCATTATTCTAGTTTAAGTTAAATTAAACTACCTGCCCTTCGTTTAATAAAATTTATTTAAAAATTCAGAGATCACAGAAAATAAAATTGAAAAATAAACATAACTGTTTTCCATAAAAAAATCAAACATAATCACTATTGCAATAGGAATATAACCCTAACTTAGATATGTAGTGCATGCTTTTTTAATTTCAAAAAATCATTTTTCACGTTGAGGAAAATTGTAAATATACAGAGTACCATGTCGAATTGCGTTTGTTTCTTAAAAATCGACTAAACATTGAGATATTACTTGAAAATGGTGCTTATAAGTTTAATTCAATATAGATACATAAAAGAACATCATTAATTTTTTGCACAAATCTGTAACACCCTGTATACATATAATTTTTACCGTAAAAAATCAATGGGGTTAACTTTTTAGATTAAAAACAAACTTAAAAAATCTCTTCTGCTTAGGACTGTATTTAAAAATAAATCAACAGTAGTATGAAACTTCTATTATATATTATATATACAATATGTCCACAAATCGTAATCAATCTTTTTACGTTATTGTATACAAACTACAACAAGGATGAATACAAAAGTAACCCACTTCAAAAATACTGCCAAGCAGGATCACATTAAGATTTTCTCCAGTTACCTCGTTAACTTGGTCGATTAGTGGACACATTGGGAAACTTCTTTTATGTACAAAATCACAAAAAAAATCGTAGACTATCACCTATTCACTTCTTCATTTTGTAATTGCATCTGCTGCACGTGTTGAGAGCTGGTGTTCTTCTGTTCACCACATTCTACGCTATGGAGAATCTCGTGACAGAGAGGACACCTATCTTGGACGTACAACCACTTCCTCAAGCAAACACCATGGAAAAAGTGGCGACATCTCGTTATCTTAGCTGATCTCATCTCCTGATAACAAATGGCACAAACGTCGTCCAGCCTCTGGAGCTGTTCGTCATCAGCTTCTGGTAAACTTTCGATTTTATGAACTGCTGTACGTCTCTTCATAAAAACAGACCACCCTGCTCTAGCATCACACCAAATGTTAAAGTAAGCATGAATGCACATCATTACTGCTCTGATAGCACCTCCACTTTCAAATATAAGAATCCAAGCACCGTTAAAGAAGAGGAAAATACCGAAGCAGAATTCTACAGTGTTTCCAAATGCCCGAATATAATAAACATAGTCGTCCAGCTCTTCCCAAAATGTTTCCCGTCTAGCATCCATCATAAAAAGCCAATATATACATAATGAAACTCCAACTTTCACTATCACTTCTATACTGAAAGCGGATACAGCCAAAAGCCATGTAGAGGCTTCGTGATTGGACCACAAATAGTAGAGAAGTAGAACCGGAAATACAACTAGAAAGCTACAGACGAGTAAGGCTCTAAAATGCCTTTTAAGGGAAGGATTGTGAGAGGCACTAAGACTCATCAAAAGTGGATTGACGATGTTGTGAATGAAATGCAAAAGTGCAGTAAAAAGCAGGCAGAAGTTCCGGCAAAGGCGAACGAACCGTTTTTCCGGTTCAAGTCCAGTTAGACCAGTTTGTAATGCGAGTACGTAAAAGAGGATGGCAGATACTGTTCCTATACTTTTATCGTTATCGTCTTCTGTTAGTAGAACCCACTGAAAGAATTTTCCGATGTGATGGCAAATGTACGAGACGACACTGGTTATACCCAGAACGGCGGTCAATGTGTCACAACCTGATACCATTAGGTTTTTCACCAATCGAAAAGCAGGTGTAAGCTCGTCAACTTCATTCCATGTTCCGTTCATGAAGAATATTAACTGTAATACGAGATACAAGTCAGAAAATGTATAATCTTGTTAGACTCGACTCCGATAAAAAATATATTATATAAACTCATAAATACATACAAAGCAACGCAAAAGTTTTTAAAATATTATTGCAAAAATTATCGTACCGTATATTTTGTTTAATAATAATTAAAATAATAATTTAAGACAAGAACAACTTGGTTAGTTAACATCATCATTTCAATATTTTTTGTAACACTCAACAATTCATCATCCTTCACAAATCGTACACAATTAAGTAATAGTGTTACGTAAAATGAATTAATATGCATGAAATTTTTTCAGAAGTGGGACACCTTTACATCCTTTTGTGTAGATTTACGCATGTGTATATAATTATTCTATTTACTAACACGAATTAGAAAAATTAAATAGAAAATCATTAAAAAAAAGTACTGATACCTAAAAAAAACTTTCATTTGATATTTTTTTAAACGTGATGCCATATTATTTTGATAATTCAAAGGTTGTTTTCAAATTTGATACAATCATCTTCACAGCATTAATCTGATAAAAGAAACCTATCATAATTACACATGGTAATTAATTAATTAAACGAGTCTAATTTCTGAAGTGTCATTGAAAATCAACTGATCAGTGTATTTTTTACGCTTTCATTAGCAACCATTGTCCATAAAACATTTAAAATATTTTCGTTTACCAGAGCTAATAATTAATTTTCAGTATCAGAATCAGTTTTTAATCTTTATCTGTATTTGAAAATACGAGCTCCGCCATTGATCGTGAATTGAAGTTTATTCATGGCACGTATTTGCAACAAAACAAGAAGAAGAAGTGTAGGTACATATGTATAAATATCACGTATATGCAGGACATTTTCTTGAAAACAAAAAAGGATTAGAAAATACATATTTATGTATGTACCCACGTGTAATTATTTATTGTTTGTAATAGGCAAAGGAGAAAAANAATTATAGCTACTGTCTTATACGAGTGCAATTTGTATAAAAATTCGAAAATAAAAACGGTCACTAAATTTAAGACAATCTCTACAAAACATTATTTACTTAATTTAGGACACTGCCGAAGGTTTAAATAATTATTATGTAATTAATTAAGGTCGAATAGAAAAGATTGTATCGTAAAATTTGAATTAAACGAAATCTGCAATTAATGATTCGTTTAGATTTTTTATTTAAACAATCTTGTTATTGTGGTATGATTCTTATCTAGCTATGGCCGGCCTTTACTATTACGCAAGCCTTTAAATATGAAAGCAGATATTGCAAAAGTGATAAGCTTTTATCAGGCTAAAATCTTAAGAGCAAACGTCGTCAAGTACAGCAAAACGCAATTTTCTGTTTCTTTGACATTCAATTTGTTTTTTCTTTTTGTGGAAATATAGAAATATACATTTCCAATACTAGTTCCAATTAATAATTTAAGTTCATTTAAGTGCGTAAATTATAATAATACAGTTAATAAATTAATAGGTCATAATCTGGAATTTTTTCACAATATGTCAATAAAAACTACTAATAACATTATCATAGCATTAACGATGCTGCAAAAACGATGCTTCACCCATAAAAATTAAAAAATAATAAAATAACTACATAATTTCCTATTACAAAAAATAAAGATAATTATGTTTCAGGTCAGAATATTATAAATGATGAAACTGATGAAATAATTGTAAAAAATACTTTTGCTGGAACCTATATGAAAATAAACAAAAGTAAACAGTACTGGGAAATATAAAAATTAAAAAAAGAGTTAACTTATCTAATAAACAACCTAGTTTTTAGTTGATAAATATGTACTTTGCTGTTGCACAGTACAAAAAAATTGACAGTTACTTTGGTAAGAAATGTAAAACTCAAAATACAAGGTAAAGCACCAAGGTAATGGTATAATTTTGTTCTTTAAAATTAAAAACAAGTTCTTAGTGTACAAATATATGAACAAATAAAAACTTACTGCGTGTTCCAATACTCTCAAGAACCAAAATGTTCTTAAAACTTCAGGCACACTTAATCTAAGCCATTCTGCTTCAATAAGTGCAGACATTCCAAAATCAGATACAAAATTTCGAGCATGTACATAACCATTGTAAACTACTTGAATGACAGTTAAAACTGAGGCCCACAACACAAACTTCACAAGAGCAAGGGGTAGTAACGCAGCAAAAACTGGTGCATGTGTTAAAATGTTTGCTGGTATTGGTAATATTGCTAAAATTGATGGTGTCAAAAATGCAACTGGAATTAACTTCTGAACAAATGGATAACGGGGTCCAAGATGAATATTTATAAAAAGAAATGAGAATAAACTTTGCAATACATAATTCTGTAAGATAACAGTGACATAGCTTGAAGACTCATAAAGCCTGGATATATTCAATGACAGTAGATCCTCAAGGATACTGGTCTTAACTACATCTGGTTCACTTAATAATGTCATTATTGACTTCATTGTACTCAAATTTGTCCAATATGAAACAAAGACTATTCCAACAGACATAAGGTACATGTAAACAACCATCAAGTACTTTGTGCTCAGAACAAAAAGACACAATGCAGCAGCACATCCTGGAACAGAATTAATTAAATGCAGATGCAAATTCTAATAAGCCTAATAACTTTTATTATTTTAATCAAATACCATTTAGTATCTTTGAAATAAGTGAATTAACCAAAAATTTCAAACTATGGGTATTAAAAGGTTAAAGTAATTATGAGCACTTACCTAAAAAACTTAATACCAGCCTAGACAGAGAAACGATTATAAATCTGTAAAACGTTGGATCATAATGAATTGGAGTTGAATAATTTAATAAATTGTCTCCTAATTTTTGGTCGATATCTGTTAAGTCATATTCGGTGAGCTCCGACAGACCTAATCCTATTTTTAAAATTTCGTCAATTACAAACAACGGTGGCACCCTAAGTAACACCTCCACTAAATCTAGTACTTTTGTTCGGAACGACATTTCATTTCAGTCTTTGTTTTGTATGACACTGAAAATTTACTTCATATTTGTTAAATCTAAACAGGTGACATTGATGTTCGTTTTGTCAATGTTCGCAATGATCGTTATAATAGGATTCTACGAAATGGGAATGACGGAATGTAGTATAATTTATACGCCAATTGACAGATGGTGGTTAAATCGGAACAAAACGTGATGTTCATGGTATATTAATACAATATTTTTGTTTTCAAATTATTTTTTAATAAATACCGAAAATATTCCCAGAATTTATTAAAACCATAATTTCATAAAAAAAAAGGGTGAATAAATGTAATCAGAAAAACATGTATTGACTACGACTAATTAAAAATTAAGGAGGCATGTGGTGACAAATCTAGCAAAAAGTTATTACGATAGTAAACTTTAATAATTGACTAGAAATAAATAGATATACTTTCACTATTATGTAGCATATGTTCCTGCATGAAATATTTAAAATGGGAAGAATTATATTTAGTTTCCTCTGCGGGAGATTTGTTTTACTATTTTAACTTCAAAGTTGAGTAAGCAGCAGGAGATAAAGTATTGCAACCATTTGATAGACTTTTTTTATTCCAGGCGAGACAAAATAAGCATATCTCCTGCTTGTTAAGAAATATTTTACAACGGTGAACTGAAGTAAGCCGAGTATTTTAGTTCTCTCTATAATTAAAAGAAAATATTTTGTTCAAAATTTGCTTTCAATTTGAAACAAAAATTGGTTTTTTATATATATATAGATAAACATTTAACACGATCTTATATTTTTGTTAAAATATATTTTTGGTATTTGTTATTTTCAGAATTTCCTTGGCTAATAATCGAAATAAGAAACTGTGTATCACTGTGTATTTAGACACTTTCGACATGAATAATAGATTTAATCCGCCATTTTGATAACTTGGATGATTATTATATATATGTGTAAAAGTGACTAATTCAAAAAAAATGGAATTAGGCGAAATGTAATTGTTTCATGTTTAAAAAATTTGTGTGTGCGATTGAGGGCATCAACGTAAAACATTAAAAGTTAATGTGGAATAAGGTCTGTGGGATAGCTGTACTAGACAGGTGAAAACATCTAGGTATACCTGGGGGTTGATTATTATTACGAGCAATGTATGTGATAGTAAAATTTTGCGTGTGGTGGTGATAATTGAGTGAGGAATTTTGTGATATTTCTTGATAAAGATAATAGCAGAGAAAAATTGGTGTACCCGAGATGTCGATATGAAACACAGCCTTGATAACTATTTATGGGCAGACTTCATACAAAAACATTGTAAAGTACTGGTAAGGGGGCTTAAGGCAACTGAACATGTTAGTTTTGGTAATTCACTTGCGAATAAATCTGCATATGAACGATTAAGTTTATTAATTGAGGAATTAGTTTCTTCAAAATTATTTTAAAAATGCCTGCGCCACCACCTCCGCCTCCGGGTCCTCCGCCCCTATTGGGACCTCCACCTCAAATGAGTGTTGCTCCTGTAAAAAATGTAGATCGAGGAGCTCTTCTTAAATCAATTCAACAAGGGGCAAGATTGAAAAAGGCTGTCACCAATGATCGAAGTGCACCAATTATAGGTTTGTATATCAGCTAAATATTTTAATATTTATTTGAATAAAGTATGTACCTATTTGCTTTTCAATAACTTTGTGTTCATTGATTAAATAATAGTAGAGTTTAATTGCACTATCATGACTATAATTCGATTTAAAATATTTATTATGTGAAATAATAAAACAATTGGTAAAAGAGAAGTAAATTTGTAATTACAGCTATATATATGAATGAGGAAGTAAAGCTAATGTCTTAATGAAAATTATGATGAGGCAGTAGTTTAAATACCCAGTGTCATTTAAATGAAGCAATCATGTTAAACACAAGTAGATGCATATTAAAAGTATGTCATATTTCATAATCTCTTTTTCAAGATTTAATGTGACAGAACAGTTTTCATTCCAATCAATTGTATTAAACTACCTCTTAATTATGAAAGGTTGGCTTTTAATTTAATTTTCATTTTTAATGCTTCTTGCATTGCTTCATAAATAAAATATTTAAATACCATACAACTAAAATAAAAAAGAAGTGTTCAAAAATTTTTTGTTCTACATTAATGATTTTATGATCCTCAAAATATATGCTTTTCCTAACGTCATTGTTGTAAATTGTGTAAATCAGTTTCTGCTAATTAGGTCTTTAACATGCCTTATACTTTAAGTGTCTTATGTTTTATTTTGCTGCTAGAAAAGTATTATTATAAACCTTTTTAGGAAAGCAAGCTACGAATTCCAATACTTCCACTAATAATGCATCAAATATTTCTTCCACTCCAAATGGGCTTGCATTAGGAGGCCTATTTGCTGGAGGTATGCCAAAGCTTAGGCCTATTAAGCAAACAGGTAAGGTGCTTTTTATTCAAATAGAAACTGTACCCAAATAATTTATTTAGATAAAAAGAAAGTCGTCCATTTTAGAATGTACACTTCCATGAAATATTGGTTTTCTAATATACATTGTGATTAAATATCATATTAATTGTTGAACTTTATTTAAGAATTGTATTATTGATATTTATTAAATGTCAAGTCCAGTCTAATGAAATATATTTCCAAAGATGATTAAATGAAGTACCTTTATCTCTATTCTTGAAACTGCTGTACCTCTGGTTCCTCTACCAACATATATTACAAACAATATACAGTAATGGGACAACTCATTAAAAATATTCTTTAATTTTAACAAATATACACTTAAACAGTTTTATCAAGTGAATTTCTTTATCTCTGTAACAAGTGCTGTTTACAAGGGTAAATTTATTAAGTATACTTCTATTTATACCTCCTGACTTTTTGGCACACAATTCAGATTTTATTTTTAGGGAAATGCTGCTAAATTTTGTTCACTTTTATTTCTCTGGTTTTTGTTGATGTCACTTATCTTTTCGTGACCTTTAACGTTAAATTTAATTAAGAATGAGTTTTAGAGGCGAAGGTACGTCTGTTTTTATTTTATTAGAGAAATCATTCAAATCAGTGACACACGATACTTTTATTCACAAATATGCCAAAAACAGTTATGAATTTTTATTGTGTTGTAAGAAATGTTTTATTAACCAAAATTAGGAACAAAAAGTTTGAGAAACACTGATCTAAATTGTTTTGCGTAGTAGAAGTAAGTGCTGCTGTTAGGTACCTTTGGTTTGACTGTTTTAAGTAACGGAAGGAAAAAAGGGTATTCAGTTGAGGTCTTAGGTAATTATTGTGCATGAATATTATTACTTACATCCTCATTAATACTAAAACTGGACCAGTAACGTTCATATAAGAACGTCTCTTACTATACAAAAATAGTGCATAACATTATTTATCTTTTGTTCTTTTTAATTGTGTTTTACAAATTTGTAGTAGGATATTGTTTGTAAGTGTTGGCTATGTATGTTAGTTTTCTTTTCATTTAATATACTGTCTACCAGTTCATGAAACAAATGTTGGATCATTGTCTAAGGCTCTAAGGTAACGAATAGACTTAATTAGTTTAAATGTAGCATGTGTTTTTTATTTAGTGGTTTTATGTATTGTTATCTATGTACTTTTACATGTTTAAGAAGATATTGTCATACATCAATCTCAAGAAATTAAAAGTTATTTGATTTTTGTAATTGTTTGAGTTGAACACATCCAACAAATATCGATAATAAAATTCTAAAAAAATATCCATATTAAAAAATACCAACTTCTTGTAGTACTATACATACATTAAGAATTGGTTATGTATTGAGATTATTAATCGAAATTTTTTCTTTGCGTAGAGATTTTTATAATAAAGTAATTCTTAGTTATAATTAGTTTTCTTATTGATTCATTAAAATGGAGAGCATTAGCCCCATTTTTGGTTAAACCAGATTTTTCGTCAATCTTAACAAGTTTTTATTAAATTACAGGTAGCAATAATAACATTAATTCAGGTAGTAGTTCGGTTCCAAAATCTCCTGGGACACCTCAACAACAAAAGTCGTTTAGTGCTATTCAAAACGAAGTACAGTCAGCGCTGAAAAAACAAATGGCTAGCGATAGCAATAGAAATAGGGGACCTCCTCCTCCTGCACCCGTCAGGAACGTTAGCGTGAGCAAATAAATTCAACCCTTTCTATTCTTTTGTACCATTTTTGTAATTAAATTTCAGCAAAGTACCGAAAATTTAAATCGCTGTGATAATACAATGCAGACGGGTGGGACGTCGTTACATAAAAAGTCATATTCTAGTTCAAATACCACATTCAAGAGCAGTTTGCAAGCCATTAATTCTCAAATGAATTCTTTAGAGACCTCTTTAAACAAATTGCAGCCAAACGTGAGCACTTTGCATCGAAAAGCCAATAGCAGTGCCAATTTGAGTATGCTAGATTCCTCGGATCCACCCAGCTTAAGTCTTCCGGCGAAACCAGTCAACCGGAAACCAAATCTTGCTCCAAAACCGCCAATTTTAAACGGTAATCTTAAAACGTCGTCTTTCTTATTACATATTTTTTTTTGATAATAATTGAAATCTTGGTTTTATTAATTAATGATTATTTAGGAAAACCAGCAGCACCACCAAAACGGCTTATGATTAACGGTCGACCATCCGGCATCAGTCGGGCACAGAGTATGCGTAGTCCACGTACACCGTCGCCCCAAAGCCCTGAAGACAACGATGTAAATTTTCAAGCCAAATTTGGAACAGTCAGGAATATATCTTCGGCTCTAAATAAATCATTAGGACAAACTTTCACTCAGAAACCACGGCCGTCACTTAATGGTCGTCCTAGCGCGCCTCCACCTTCCGCACCTACGCAGCAAGCTCCTCCGCCTCCAATAAGCAAAACTGTTGTGGTGAAACCCCCCAATCACGCACCACCTCCTCCCCCAACGTCTATACCTCAGCCGCCCAGTCACCCCCCTCCACCACCTCCCCATCGAACTCCCCAGCCATTTAGACCACCTCCTGCAGTAAGTTGTTATATTTTTAGGAATTTACTTTCAATTTTTTGTTATTAACATAATGTAAATATATAGTAGTAGTATTATTTTAAAATCATTTCTTGTACTGAATTGAAGCATATATATATATATATTTGAAAGTGTTATATTTTTATAGGTGCCAAATAGCAATCACAGTTCGAATACTACTGCTGCGCCGCCTCCTCCCCCAAGGCATTCTTCAATGAGGGATAGTGCAGCGAGCAGAAGAATATCGCCAGTTGACTTAGAACAAAAATATAAAGAGTATTTCCACAGTATTATCGAGATACCCAATCCACCTGTTTTCAGGGGATTTCCCAAGATTTATTCGAATCGCAACGGTAAGTATCAAATACTTATATCAGTAACAGAACATTCTTTTATTTTTTAATCAACCGCAGCCTGATTTGTTTCTTTTAACTTCAGCTAGTCTTTTTTCGTTTATTTGCTTAACAGAATTTGCTTTGCATCCTGGTAAATAAGTTCTAAAAATAGAACGAGTTTATTATGAATTTAAAAAGTTTAGGAAGCTTGTTAATTTATGCTATCATATGACTAAGTTTTGATGAGGCTATAAGGTGAAATATTTAATATTTATTTTGCAGTTACTATCAGTATGTTAAACGTGTATGAAGTTTATTTCAGCCGTTCTCTTTTTGGTAAATCGGCTTGATATATTTTCACACTTGTGCCATAGATGTCTCAATAATTGTACAATCTAAAACAAAATCAAGAATTTCAATTTTTTACTTGTCGATTCTTCTATCTTTATTATTAATCTGTTGGTTATGGGGAATTTACAACTATATTTATAAGTATGCCTTGGTATCGGTCACTACAAATGATAATTATTGCTATTATTATCTTCTTGGTAGCAAATTAATTATAAGATAACAGTAACATAAGCTCGTGCTATTTATTAAAAAAGAAACAGAGGAGTGAATATATAATTAAATTAATTTTCATTTTTATTTGCCTTCAGAATCATCATGCTGAAGATATGGGATGACTGCATGGTTACTGTACACATACTTATTTATAGCAAACATATTAGCACCCCACACTTTTCTCCTTATTTTAGTGTTTTAATTATTTATTAATTTTTTGTTTATTTCCAATTTTCGATAACATTCCACTGCTTGTCTGATTTTGAATAACTAGTAATTGTAGTAAGTTTTACGCAGTTACATTTTTTTGTTTTTTTATTAATTTCTTCGTTAGCAAACGCCTGTGAATAACTAAAATGTGTTAATTTTGTTTCTTTGAAATTGCATTTATTTTTTCTGATTCATGATTGATTCACATTGATAACAAATATATTCTACTTATAAACATTCCTAAAAAGACTAATAATTAAATTAAAGAAAAAGTAAGCCTTTTAATGTAGAGTTTCATCAATGTACTGTAGACTCTTATTAATCGAAATTTTTTCTTTGCGTAGAGATTTTTATANAGTTTCATCAATGTACTGTAGACTCTATAATTTTATTTTAGTTCTGGGGGACCATTATCAACAGTAATGTTTTAATTAAGTTTCAAAACTTGCATGTAGACAATTTATCCTTAAAAGCCTTTATAGGGTTGAGGATTAAACATGGCAGTTTTTTTTGAGTGTCAGTAATATTTATTTTTGAAATTATACTTCTTTTGGCTCAATGATATTAAAATTTTAACATTCAATAGAATTTGCGTGCACAAATTTGATGAAAATTCGACAGTAGTTAGCAACATGGCTGTAAGTTAGCGAGCACGTGGTTAGTTTCGGTGGTGGCCGCTGCTCGTTGATTGGAGGGAGTTGCACTCCGTTCATTAAAGGTAGCACTGCACGGTGGTATCATTTAAATACTCAGTCGAAAATATTGTTTAAATAAATGATGATTATTATAGTATACTTACCGGCTAAATAAGTATAACATCTACTTCGCGTGCGTGACTACATGTATTAGCTTATTTAATGCTAAACGTAATAATAAAATTTGATAATTAATGTTTCGTCTTAACAACTTTTAGAAAATTACGTATGTAGGGTGTAGTGTATAAATTGTCCAGTTGTCACTTCACTGTTGAGAATAGTCCCTTATTATAAAGTTTACTGTAAATTGGCGAAATTATTCATTGAAGTATTATATTTTTAGCAGTTGAATTTTTTAATTTAAATTGTCTAAAATGAAAGTATCTATTTAAGTAGCTTACATTCAAGTGTTTACTTCTATGTATATATTTTTTATCTGTTATGTAAATATTTTTTGCTGTTTTAATTGATACATATTCTTCTTTACTTAAAAGATAGTCTTCTTAATTCCCATTCATTTGTTTGGCTGTTTCTTTGTGGATAGTCTGTAGGCATTCATATATTGCTTGATTTGTTCCGATTTTAGTTGGTAATAAGCAACAGGCACCGATGCCACCGAACCATGTGTCTTTGGGTAACCGAACATGGGATGCATCGGCGTGCTAGCTATGGCCGAAACGGGTCCCTTGACGGCCCCATTAAAATATAGGCCCCGGTCGTTCGCTTGTCCTACTACATTCGCGATTTCGACGGAGCTGTATACTGTGCAATGCATTGCGCTGACGCGCTGTGCGTGTTAAGGCTGATGTATGTATGTTGTAGGTAGTCGTAAATGTGGGAAAGGTATGGCGCAGTTTATAATTACTATTTTTTTTATCTCGAAATTTCTTTTTGATTCCCTCTTTTTTTTTAAGAAATTAGATTTCAAATCCAAACAATGAGGTATTGATTTAAACAATAATAATCCACTTACTTTTTTATAAAGTAATGATTTGCTAAAAACCTGTTTTTTCATCTCAATTTATATAATTTTTTAAATAATATTTCAGAAAGTAGGGCGTGAAATTTTCTGAGAATGTAGGAGAGAGTATGTTAACATCTAGAAAAGTTTTTTTCTTATGTTTACAATGCAATTCGTTACCTTAAATAAATTGTTTAATTGCAGCTTAGGTTTGGGTGTATAAGTAAATGAATAGCAGACACTATTGTATTTACTTGTGATAGTTTCTTATAAATAGTAGAGGTTGATAATAAAAAGACCAAGTACCAAATGGGAATCTATTGTGCCTATAATAGTGAGGGTGTATTAATGTTTCAAAATCAAATTGTTGAACCTTCTCTTGTACAATAGCCCTTAGATAATGAGTCGTTTTATAAAAAAGTATAGTAGTCTTTGTCACCATTAGGAAAGAGAAAAATAGTGAAATTTGTGAGTCTCTATTTTACATCTCATTATGTACTTATAGAAACGTGTATTGGGTTAATTTTAGATTAACTGCAGTTTAAAAGAAAAAAGAAAATAAATGTGTTTTTGATATTGATGAAATAGAGGCTTACTGTAATTACATACTCTTAACACATATCAATTTTGCAATTGTTCTATATCAGATCTGCCCACAACAAGACTGTGATGAAGGTTGTTATTAAGAACTATAATGTATTAATTGCTATTATTGTATAATATTTATTACATACTACTAAACAACACAATAGAAAAAACAATAAGAATTATTGGTATAGTTTCTATTTCTTCCCCTTATTCGAGAATCTAGAATGTGCAGAATTAAAACCAGTAAAAAAGAGTTAATTTATAAAAACTGACATTGAGAGTGAGAATACTAATTTATATAGTTAAAATAATAAATTATATAAATAATTAAAAACAAAATTATGTGCTGACACAATGATGAACTATTTACAGAAATTGACAATGTAATAAAAAGATAAATATTGCATTGTCGATTCTGCATTTCGTTTTTAAATGTGAAGTCTTTACGTCATCATATGGTTTATAATTGTCTTATTTTTTTATAATTTATTCTTTTATCTATATAATTTGTTGTACAAGTTAATGCTTTCATACCACAATAATATGTACCACTTTTACATTCCTTGTCATCTAAATGTAACGATCTTTTGACTTGACAAACGTTGAAAAAACTTACACTTAAATGCGAAACGTTAGTAAATAAAATAACTCTTTTTTATCCTACTGTATTGGATTTTGTTCTTCAATAAGAGAATTATCTGTGACATAATATAATAATTTTCTTTTTAAATAAAGGCCCTATGACTTGGCAGTTATGGGGAATTTACAACTATATTTATAAGTATGCCTTGGTATCGGTCACTACAAATGATAATTATTGCTATTATTATCTTCTTGGTAGCAAATTAATTATAAGATAACAGTAACATAAGCTCGTGCTATTTATTAAAAAAGAAACAGAGGAGTGAATATATAATTAAATTAATTTTCATTTTTATTTGCCTTCAGAATCATCATGCTGAAGATATGGGATGACTGCATGGTTACTGTACACATACTTATTTATAGCAAACATATTAGCACCCCACACTTTTCTCCTTATTTTAGTGTTTTAATTATTTATTAATTTTTTGTTTATTTCCAATTTTCGATAACATTCCACTGCTTGTCTGATTTTGAATAACTAGTAATTGTAGTAAGTTTTACGCAGTTACATTTTTTTGTTTTTTTATTAATTTCTTCGTTAGCAAACGCCTGTGAATAACTAAAATGTGTTAATTTTGTTTCTTTGAAATTGCATTTATTTTTTCTGATTCATGATTGATTCACATTGATAACAAATATATTCTACTTATAAACATTCCTAAAAAGACTAATAATTAAATTAAAGAAAAAGTAAGCCTTTTAATGTAGAGTTTCATCAATGTACTGTAGACTCTATAATTTTATTTTAGTTCTGGGGGACCATTATCAACAGTAATGTTTTAATTAAGTTTCAAAACTTGCATGTAGACAATTTATCCTTAAAAGCCTTTATAGGGTTGAGGATTAAACATGGCAGTTTTTTTTGAGTGTCAGTAATATTTATTTTTGAAATTATACTTCTTTTGGCTCAATGATATTAAAATTTTAACATTCAATAGAATTTGCGTGCACAAATTTGATGAAAATTC